TTATTTTGTAAAAACTACAGATTTTTTTTACAGTGCATGTGCTAAAACATGCTCATCTCACAAGTGTCACGAGAGTGTATATCATTCGATTTTTTATTTTTTTTGGTAATACATTTGTGTGCATGCTGAAAATGTACAAATAAACCAAGGGAAAAATATAATCTGTCTCAGGACTCTAACAACAGTGTTTTATTGTTTTTTAATTTCAAAGCTCCAGCTTCTTTTTGTTCCCCACCCATTGTCATCCTTATCTAAAAGAAATTTATCTTTAAATACCTAAAGATTATGCAGCCTTTTAGAGCAGAAGGCAGACTGAGAGATGAATAAGGACCCAACAGGTTTGTTTTTAAAAAGTACAACTAATTCAGTCAGCCAATAAAGCACATATTGATCATTTGATGTTTATAAACCAATTTTTGCAGAAGTGATGTGTCTTAGGAAGTGTCTAAAATCATGGGTAATCTGCTAATGTTGTAAATGTCAAAGTTGTAAATCACTGCATGGTGAGAAATACAGTTCAGCGGTGGGTCTCTTTCCTTAAAATATTGTTCTGTTCAGACTCATTACTAGAGAATGGCTTGATTTACAATGAAATCTATTAAAAGTAGATTTAAAAAGGCAAGCACTTTACTCACTTATCACTTGTGATCAATCGAAACAGTCAAGCCCATTTGTGGAAAGAAAGTAAGATAAATCTTAACATGAAAGTTATGTTACTGCAAGACGAATCAGACAGTTACATTACTCTCTGCAGCTCAGACTAATTAAGGGTACTTGATTAATGATATGCCTTACTACAGTAATATGAAAATAATAAGAAATCAATTATCCAGTCTTCTAAGGAGCGCCCTTTCCATTTAAGGTGTCAAGATGCTAATTAACAATACCACAGACTTTATGGGTGTTTGTCTGTGCATGCATTTTTTAAAAACACTCTTCTGTGACAAATACTTATCTGTCTGTGGGTTTGGAATCAATATGATGTGTTGGTTTTGCAACATGGGGTGAAATGAATGAATCAGTAAGCTGTGGAAGCCTGAATTATTTTTGTTTTCATGTTATTTGTGGTATCAAACAGATACGATGTTCTTACAGTCCAAAACTTGATTTAAAAGGATTAAATCTAACACAAACAATAAGGAATTTATTCATCTCTGCAGACAGTGGTTCAAGCTTCTGTGCAATGTGACAAATTAGTCATATCAGGATATCAGCCATAACAGTGATGAAAAACTGTTGTGCACTGACAGAATATTGTAATATACAGTATATTATGCAATATAAAATATAGAACTATAATTTCTCTGGAAATTTTTCTGTGCTGTTTCATTATGAAAGTGATTTATTTTTCAATTCTCACTTGTACCTGTGCCACATTATTTGTTAATGCTATTAATTGCTAAAATAGGCAATTGCTTCTTTTAGGCAAGGCAAGGCAAGTTTATTTATATAGCACATTTCATACACAATGGTAATTCAAAGTGCTTTACATAAAAGAAAAGAATATAATCACAACAATAAACTTTGAAAATGATAAAAAAAAATTGATTTAAGAGGTTTAAAATGAATCCCAGAAAGCCCAACCAAGTTTTCCAGTCTCTCTAGTAGTATGTCATGATCGACAGTGTCAAACGCAGCACTGAGATCTAGTACCAGCACTGATATTTTGCCAGATTCAGAATTTAAGCGAATATCATTTATTATCTTAATGAGTGCTGTCTCTGTGCTGTGATGCGGTCGGAAACCAGATTGAAAATTGTCCAGGTATCCATTTGAGTTTAAGTATTTGTTCAGCTGATTAAAGACTACCTTTTCAATAATCTTTCCTATAAAAGGAAGATTTGATATTGGTCTATAGTTGCTCAATATGGTGTTATCAAGAATGTTCTTTTTCAGAAGGGGATTAACAACTGAAGTTTTCAGGGAGTTTGAAAAAGTCCCAGAAAGAAGTGAGGCGTTCACCACTTCTAAGAGATCTGCTTCCAAACAGTTTAGCACCCTTTTGAAAAAATATGTGGGAAGTGTGTCAAGATAGCAGGTTGACGATTTAAGGTGCTGTACTATTTCTTCCAAAATTTTGCTATCAATTTCTTCAAAAGCAGACATAGTATCTTCTTTTTGATGTTGTGGTCGAATCTGTCTAACCTCTGCATAACTTGGGGATGTGCTAATCGCCTTCCTGATATTATTAATCTTTCAGAAAAGAAGGAAGCAAACTCATTGCATTTGCTGTCGGAGAGCATTTCACTGGCAATCTGACTTGGGGGGGTTTGTCAGTCTCTCAACAGTAGCAAAAAGAGTGCGAGTGTTGTTTAAGTTACTGTTTATAAGGTTAGAGAAGAATGACTGTCTAGCTTTGCCTAGTTCCCCCCTTTTAGTGCTTAACTCAATGCATGTTACATCTAAAATGACATTACATCTTAAAAATGATGTATGTCCACATTGACATATAGGGAAGAATGAGGTTGGTTGGCACAATTTTCATTCTTTGGTTGAAAAAAAAAAACATAAACCCAACTACACCAGAGCCAATCCACTCTGGCCAAAATGATGTAGGCTCTAAGGGGGAAGCAAACAACAAAATAAAATGTAAAAACAATTTCATTTCTAATTGAATTGCTTATATATATATATATATATATATATATATATATATATATATATATATATATTTTATATATATTTTTTTTTTATATATATATATATATATATATATATATATATATATATATATATATATATATATATATATATA